GGCTCCTGTATTAGCTTGCGAGTAAGGGATGACCTGCAGGCATCGTGTGAGCGCTGTCTTGGCTTCATGAGCAAGTGTCACTTGCAATACAGCATGCACAAGATCTTAGAGACATATTGCGAGTGTGCACCGGGTGCATAGCACAGCCTGGAGCAGGGCTAGTTACGCGCACAGCTTCCTATTTACGCACCTGGGCACACTCCTAGTCCGATTCCTTGTTCTAAGTTTTGGCCCACACGTTTTCGCTCTCGTCCATGATCCTGGCCGCCCTTAACTTCAAGAGCCGGAAATGCTGGCCAGACCTACGAGTTCTACCTGTCCAAGTTCCGACTCGCGGCGAACTATCTCCGGCAAGTCGCTAAAGCCAGCAGGACCGGCAACGCATTGCAACTTTGACCTGAGTGATTCTGGGCCGGTTGGGCATGAAAGGCACCAGGACCCTCCATGTACCCTTAAATAGAGGTATATGGCCTCGAATAATGGACATTCAGGGTCTAATAGAGGGTAGATGGAGGGTCTAGGCATAACGACTTTGTGGCAGGCGACGGCTTCAAGCTCGGCGATTACAACGCTAAGTCTTGTCGCCTCGTAGACTTCGCAAGCTTGAGAAATGAGGGGCGGCTATACGGTACTTGTAGCATCTTGTCGCATGTCACAAGGGAGCTCATGAAGGTTCACTGTAGGTCTGCATCGCGATGTGCCAGGATTGGCATCGTCGGACTTGGTTGGGGCTCCTGGCTGGCCTGCTACGGCGGCTAGCCTTCCATGATCTTCCGTTGGTTTAGGGTTTAGGGCGGCTAGCCTTTCATTGGGATGATGGGCACTTCGTGGTGTGTATGTGTGTGTGTGTGTTATGCTCATGTGTGTTTGTTGTTTTCGCAGCACCGTGAATTCTGTGACAATGTTGACAGCTACTGTTAGCATGCAGTACTGCTGTTCTCTAACGAGTCTGTGATTTCTCTTGCTTCTTCACCTGTTATTCTCACTCTTGCTGTCTCCTCGCAATTTGCCGGTTGCCATCCCGGGATGGAAATCTTCAAGCATGGTGACCCTTGATCGTCAGGGCTACAGGGTCGATGCAACGAGGGCTCAATTCACGGCAAGAGCTCGCTCTGGCTTCAGTGTTGTGACTCTCCTCCGCGGGTAGGCTTGGGGTTGGTATACCTGTTGTCAAGTCGTGCATGGCATATGTATAGCGCTCGTTGTTCCGGTCGTTTGCGTTTATACATAGACTGAGTTCCTCCAAATCAACATGCAGAAATGGATCGTGTAGTTTTTAACCTCGCGTTTCGCCGTAGATAAAGTGGTTGCTGGCAAGTGGAACCCGACAGAACCGCTTTGTATTAGAAAGCCTGAGGGGCGGGGGGGGGGGGGAAACAATAACAAGCTGCATTTACATTTTGTGTGGCAGCTTCGCCCAAGGTGCCGAATACCTCGGAGTGGACTTTGGCTGCTCAGTGCCATAGCCTCAAGGGGCCAACTTTGTGCAGTTGGGGGCCATCAGCCACAGCAAGACGATTATGGTAGCAGATAGTATCTTATAGTACGTAACAGTATATCATACCATATATGAAAATGTTCTGACATTTTCTAGAAATTATGGGTCATAACCGTAACAGCACTAGCCGTCGTGAGCTTGCGAGTTGTCTCCAGGTTTTGTTGGAAAACATTCGCTCGAGGTCCCTCATGTGTGTCGTACGTACACGTCTCGCAGAGATCATGCGATGCCGATATTCGCGTAACTTCGGGTTGAAGGCGAGATTGCAGAATTCCCTCGCCTGACTCTTAGCAGTTACTTAAAATCGAAGTCGCTTGACCCTAATCCCCAAACCCTTCCTTGAGGATGATAACGCCGCTTCTACATCGCCTGGGCATCTGGGACGGTGTCAGCCCAGAGCGTTTGATCGCGCGCGGTGCTTAGCCGCTCCATTCCACAAAGACTTGCACACATTCACCGGCATGCCAATGTCAAGGGAATAGGAAGTGTTGTAGTGCACAAAGTAGGCATGGCATGTTTCCAAGGAGGTTCAACATCGAGGAAGGGGTTAAGAGAAGGCAAGGCTCACCAACGGGAGATGTGTGCAAGCTGTTGAGTATGCCCAAACGGACTGCCCTGCCTGAAGCTTCAAGAAGCTTTGGTCTTCCAGTCCTGACAACCACTGAAAGCCATACGTGTTGGCACCCGTGTACCCGTGAACCTGAATGGACCTTCAGGAAGTGCCCTGCTCCCGCTGGGCTCTGAGATGTTCGTGTCGTGTCTCGACCTCTCGGGCGGCAACGATCTTCGTTTGTACTGTGCATGTCTTGCCATTGCTTCAGCTGGCCCTTGCCGAGGGTTGGGAACATCCAAATCGCCAGGTTAGTTTCATGGTCTCCTCAGATGAGCCTGCAGATTACGAAAGCGGAGGACATGGCATGCATGCGTGCAGATCTATTGAAGCCCGTCTTCAGAATGGTCAACTTCCCATGGTCTGATCCAAACAGAGTAAATCTGGTGCTTGTTGCTGGCGTTGAGTCTCGTGGGTTCAGCTGCTTGCAGACAAACGATTGACTAAGCACACAGCCAGACGTATGTATGTGTATATACGCACATACTGTCTGTATATGGTATGTACATGCTGTATTTGACAGTTACGCTTGTGCATAGACCAAATTATCTGTAGTATGCACAGAATGCGTAGGCACGGGTCTGTCTATCTACCTGTCTATCTATATGATCGGCGCTTCCGGCAGAGGAGCATATTTTGCCGTGAACTCGGAGAAGTTCCGCAGGCGTGGCTGTGGCAGATTAAATTAGGGCTTACAGGATTTAGGGTGGATGATCTCGGATCACCGCTGACAGCCGGGCAATGGCAAGCAAGCTTGTAATGCACTCTGGGTGTCATTCGTCGACACTCTTTGCCTACAGTCTCCGTTGTAGCTATTTTTTGGTCTAGCCACTCTCAGATTATAAGGAAACCCTCCTTTATGGTTTTGGGAGAAGCTGCTGCTCTTAGACTCTTGGAGCTTGCTTGGAGTTCTGTCAGAGCATTGAGGCGTGTTCAGATTCACAGGTCAACAGAGTGCGAACTCTTCAAGACCATGCGCAATGGCTTCGTTGCACTCTCAGCTGTGTTCCGTTGTGCACACATGGCCTGCACTATAGCCTCAATTCATTTGGCAGTACTTTTTAGTTTTAGTTACTTGTCCGTCGTCCTCTCTGTCATATGAAGATACTATACCCCATGTGCCAGAGCCCTAGGCCTGCAACCCTGGATCCTTGAACTCCACGTGAACCCTCTAATCTCTAAAAACCTTAAACTCTTAAAGCCCTTCGAACCCCAAAGCCCTCAAGCCCCCTGCGACCTCACGTACTATATAGGCCTCCATATACATATGTATATATATATATATGTGTGTGTGTGTGTGTGTATATGTCTATATACTGGGCCCCCCAAACCCTGTTCGAATTATTTAGGCCCTATATCATAAACCCAGGATTCTCGTGAGAGCTTCTTGGGTCCGCGTAAGGTGACCCAGGGGAACTTCGAAGATCCTGGCACCCGCCAGGCGAAGTTCGAGCCTTCGAGCGGTTCAGGATTTTAGCGGTCTTTAAGGGTTTAGGGTATTAAGGGCTTCAAGGGCTGTAAGGGTTGAGGGTTGTAGGGGTTTAGGGTTTTAGCAGCTTTAAGGGTTTAGGGGTCTTTAGGGTCTTAATGGGTTTTAAGGGTTTGGGGTTTGGGGCTTGGGTCTTGCTTGCTGGTGACTCATTGTTGTTTTGGGGGTTTAGGGTTCTGTGAGGTTAGAGGGGTGTGGATGTTTCAGGCTTGGGGTTTCTGACATACCGGGGTTTAAGGTTTAGATTTGTCGGGTGCAGAGTGTAGGGATTCCAAGAAGGGGTTCAGAGGTTTCGGGTTGACGGTTTCTAAGGATTGTGGGTTTGGTGTAGAGGTTTCGGATTTGGTGTTTCTAAGATTCTAGAGTTTGTGGTCTTGAGAGGCAGGGCTTCGGCGGTTTCAGTTTCAGGGTTTAGGTTTTAGGGCTTAGAGGTTGAGGATATGGGGTTTTCGGGCGGGAGTTAACGTTGATGAGCTTGTACGAGGTTTAAGCTTGTTTTGGTCTTGGTGGCCCTTGCCAGCCAGTCAGGTGTTCCAGATTCCAGTGAGCCTCAAAGGAGTCTTGCCTGTGCCAGGAGATTATCCGTGCCGTTGAGCTGGCCTGTTTAATCAAAGCTGATGAGGTTTAGGATCTAGCTGGGTTTGGCAAGTGTTGTCTTCGGCGTTACAGGTTTTAGCGCTGAGGACGTTGACGGTCTAGGATTTAGTTGCGACATTGAGGGTTCAGTGAACATCCGTCACGTTTGCATGTTGTTTTGAGTCGAAACATACGATCCGAACTCTGGAGTTCCATGTAATCTGCACTTGCACATGCAGTTGTTGGCATCAGGCAGCTTCTGCTGCCTGCAGGATTTGAAGAGAGTCTGGCGAAATGAAATCCGAAGGAGTATCTTACAGACATCAAGCTGCAGCGGTCTCCAGGGAAATGACTTTCTTCCTTGAAGCCCCATGAAGTGTGTAGCTTGTCTCCTCAACCTTCTGAAGCATCTTGCTCTTCTCAGCAAGGCCATCGAGACCTCGATCCCCCCCTGGCCAAAAAGCCTTCGTATCAGCGCTTCAACAGCGGCCAGTTTAACAAGACGGCTGCCTTCCTTCGCAAGTTCCTGTGGCCATTCCCGTCGGTGACTCGAATCTACTGACAGTGGTGGAGTGCAAGTCACAGGCAAATTTTACGGTGATGCTGCATCGGTCATTAAGGATTTCGATGGGGAGGGAGGGACGGAGAGCGTTCGAGAGGGCCCGAGAGGCAGGCAGAACCTTTGGTGAAGAGTAGAGGAGACGCTTGTCGTTGCCAAGTGAACCTTGAGCTGCAAGTCTTGTTGACCTGTTTTGAGCTAAGTCAACCTCTGTTCGGTGATGTAGGTCGAGAGTACTCCGGAGATCTAAGGAGGGAAAGAGGACCTCATGAGTATGCAGCCAGTGGTGCTTTCGAAATCTTCCGTGACGCGCCTTTGAGTTGAGGCTTGGTGGAGGCTATGCCTACCTTAGGCCAGCTCCTGAGCCTCAGGGCATCTCAAGCTTGAATGGATGCTATAGGGGCTTGAATAATTAGAACAGGGTTGTGGGGTCCATGATACTAGAGTTAAAATTAGGAACCCCCCACAATATGATAGGTACTTATTAAGGCCCCTAGAGTACAAGGGTTTGGGGCTTAGGGCCGAAGTTTCTGCCTGGATTCCGATTCGTAAACCTAAGTTCCGGCCTTCAGGACTTGCTTCCCGAAGCCCTAAACCCTAAACTTCCCAAAACCCTAGCCCCTAAGCTTCCCGAAACCCTAAACCCTAAACCATAACCTTCCCGAAACCCCAATAAACCCTAAACCTCTAAGATCCGAAGGCCCGAAGACCTTGTGCCGTACCCGCTTACACCTCAAGCCCCGAAGTGCGACAGCCCAAGAGTCTGCAAACTGCAGGGCCCGGGCCTTCCCAGCGTTAACCTACCACGACATCGCTATCAGGTTGAGGGATTAGGGTTTTAGGATTTTAGGGTTTTAGGGTTTAGGGTTTAGGATTAGGGTGCATGTTTGTGTTTTGGTTTTCTTGAAGTATTCTTTACGGTTTAGCTTTTGCGTCCTGGGTCTGGAGATGTGCCCCGGGCCGCAGCGAACCAGATGCCTGGACCGATGCACTGCTGCTGCTGCTGCTGCTGCTGCTGCTGCTTCGACTACTGCCACTACTGCTACGAATCGAGAAGAACAAGTCGCATGTAGAACTACTAATTGGGGATTCCGCATTATACTCTAATGGGGCCTGAAACACCAGCTATTAAGGCCCCTACATTACACTGGGCAAACTTGCTAAACCTTAAACCTAAACCCTAAAACCCTAAAAATCCTGGTGTATCCCCCCTGGGGTCTCCAGGTATTTGGCTTCAAAGGGCGACTTCGAAGCCATGCAGGAGCCGGGTTCGCTGGGGGCTTCAGGGTTTTGGGGTTCAAACTTATTTGTTCAAGATGATGAGAAGCACTAGTAATAATAATAACCGTCATTATAATAGTTGTAATAATAACAATGATATTAGCAATCGTCATAGTAATAATTAAGGATTTAACAGTGTGACAGCTTAAGGCGGCGCTCCTTTTGGGGGGGACCCGAACTAGTACGGCATCCTTACAGAAAGGCCCTCAGAGGGACCCTCATTCGGAGAAGTACCCTTACTTGGAGGATCCGGGGACTTAGTAAGTAAGGTCATAAGTACCTTAATTGCGGTTATAAGTATAGTTACCCTAATTATAACCCTGGTTACTAAGTCCCATGATCCTTTCAGTATGGCCCCTTAAGAAGCCCAGTCTGAGCCCCAGAGTCCCTGAAGCCGAAATGGGAGTTTCGGAAAATTAGGGGTACCAAATTTTGGGGTCCTTACAAGAAGGATCCCATCATTTAGGGTCCTATATTAGGGTCCCCAATTTCGGGAAACTCCCAAATTGCACTGAAGATCCCAAAGGTATCAAACCCCAGGCCGTAAAAGTAAAGACCTAAACACCCAGAGCCCAAAAGACGCAATAGAAGAAGTATCACCTTGTGGTATATTCCGTGCCCCAAAATCCCACTCAGTTTATGAAGGCTTAGATGATATGAAAACCGCAGGGCCTCCTCCAGCTCGGGGTACCCGCCGGCGGCCGCGATAGCTTGGATGAAGTCGAGCTCGGGCCCTATTGGATTTTGCGAAAGGGGGTGAGGTGGTTTCAGGGGGCGCACAGCGCGCAGTCAGGCATGTGATCCCGGGCACAGTCGTCCGGTTGACAGCGCTGTCTTAAAGTGAGGCAACCACCTATCCTGTACGCTGCCCGGGATGGACACCGAGAAGCCATCAAGCTGCTCGCGCAGTACGAGGCGGGAAATGTGCCGAGACCAGGGGAGGTGCTTAGTGGCACCTTCCTGTTGGCCAGTCGGGATGCTTCGGTTTAAGAGGGGAAGAGATGTTGAAAGTCCATCGGGCCAATATGTAGAGATCATTTGGGTTCCAAGCGTCTGACATGTGACCCAGAAGTAGGCTTGACAGCTGCAGTTTGGGATGGTGATGCTGTGACTGAAAGATGTGCAGCCCACAAGGCAGACGTCAACGAAGTTGGCGGCATTCCCTTTGAAACAGCCCTGCATGTTGCAGTGCAGTTCTGGCCTCAGCTGAGAGGGAGAATCAAGCATCGACTTACTTGCTCCTATAAGCACAGTCTATGTATATGTAGATGTAGATGTATGTAGTATGTGCGTGCTTATGTATGTATGTATATATATATATATATATATATCTTTGTGTATGTGTCCCTGTAGCTGGCTATCCAACGTGTGTGGCAACCGGCTCGCAATTCTCTGTGGTGTGGGACACCAAAGATTCGCTGATGTGAGGTCTTAGGGCCAAGCACTTGATTTGCGAAGGAAGTCTATGCTACCCTCGCATAGGTCAATTGTCGTATTGCGGCAGCATATTGAATGTTTGTTTTTTGCCGGGTGCTGCGGGACTGGGCTTTCTTTCAACCAGGTTTTGCGCTGTTCCTTCCGCTGCGGTGTGCCAGGAGTCACAAACTCAAAGTGGTCCAAATGCTGTTGGTCAGCATCCCAGCTGAGACAGACAGGTCCACAACGATCTGACACACCATGGCGATGTCGCCAAGAGTGGCGTTCATGATGCTGCTGATGATGACAGTGTGCATGCTGATGAAGCTGTTCATGATGATGATAATGATGATAACGATGATGATGGTGATGGCGATCATGGTAATGATGTTGGTCATAGCCTGGATCACGGTGATGACGATGATGATAAGGGTGATGATGACGTTGACAATGTTGCCAATAATAATGAGGATGCTGACGAGGATGGTGATGACGAGTATGAAAATTAGTGACACCGATGACTAGCACGATTGATGTGTCATGTTCTGTGTTGCGTGCCGTACCGCTTCGATTTGCTGCCATAGCTAAAGGCTAAAACCTGTGCATTCAGAGTTTGCCTGGTAGCCTTACAACAAACAAGCCTGGCACTGACTGTCCATGCGCTCTTAACCCTGCTGTAAACTTTGAGGATCCTTGAACCGCCTGAGCCCGCTTCCAAAACGATGTCTGCTTCGCTGGCAGTCCCTGCGCGCGGACCCACAGATCAAAGATGCCGGAGGCTGACCGAAAACTGGCTGCTGGGTGCTAAGGCTTTCAAGGCACTTATGTGCTTCTGTGTTTGGAACTCAGAGGTTCCATCAATGAGCATGACAGAACTTAAAATTTCAGACATGGTTGTCTTGGGCCAGCTTTTGGCATGCAGTGAAGGTCCGACCGGCTAGCTTGGCTCATGAGCCTCTGAGACTGCGGGTACCGCAGCGCCCCAATTTTGACCGGCAGGCTTCGGTATGACAAGATGAGCTCAAACTCCAAACTCCAAAGTCGCCCGAACGCCGAAACATGCCGAGGCCCTGAACCGAAACCCTGAAAATGTCTAGGCCTGCCCAAGGCAAGAGGCCAGCCGCGTAAGCTCATACTGTAGCTCTACTCGAGGCCATTAGCGGTTCTTGAGCAAGAGGCTTCTGCCCCAGTCCAGATTCTGTTTCGCAGGGACCCCTACAACAGGACACCTCGCTTTTGGCCGCTTGTGTACATAATATGTATGTATACGTATGTATGTTTATATCTGTATGTATGTGTGTATATATATATATATTCTATGCGCATATGCATATGTATATGTATAGCTATATGTATATGACTATGTATATGTGTAAACCATTAGACACATGCACCTTGAAGCCGGTAATCTGACACTATGATTGCTATGCGACTACTCTGCTACATGCTCCGTTCACTGCAAGCTACGTATCCTAAACCCTAAAACCCCAAACCCTAATCCCTAAAGCCCCAAACCCTAAACCCCTAATCCCTATATAAACCCTAAACCCCCAATCCCTAAACCCTAAACCCCTAATCCCTAAACCGCCCTAAAGCCCTGAACCCTAAACCCACATTTTGCAGGGCAAGGGCCCCTCCATCGCGCAGCGCGCGAGGGCGCAGCGATGGGCTGAAGATTCCGCAGTAGAGGGGTTTAGGATTTAGGGCTTAGGATTTAGGATTCAGGGTTTAGCTTTTATTGTTTAGGATTTAGGAGTCAGGGTTTGGGATTTTAGGAATTAGGGTTTAGGATCTAGGACTTAGGGTTTGGGATTCTAGGGTTTAGGGTTTAGGCTTCGGATTGTTCTTGGGTAGATGAGACAGTATCGTTTTTGCGACACACATGCCATTGTAACAACTGTACAGAGATGTTCTGAGTATGTTCGAGCCTTCAAATGGTTTGTCCCGGATGCTGGCATTCCCGAGGTTCGGCGTGCTGTAGCCCGGAGTTCAAAGTTCACCCATTCTTTCATGACCTGGAGCCATGAATCTGTGTACATCGTGAATAAACTGCTCATAAACCGTTACTGAATCAAGGTAAATGTGACCGATGTTTGCTTCTCGCACGGGTCTTGATGGTGGAGGGGCAATGCCAAGCCTGTTTGCTTCTGTGTGCGGCACCGAGATACACTCGCTGCAGACGCTTATCACGGCCGGCGCAACCGTGGACATGAGGCGATTTCCGCGAGAGCATACAAGCAGCGCAGTGAGTTCACGCAACGGACATTTCCTTGACAGATTCCAGAAGAGATATTCCCTTGAGATGAACGAGTGCACATGCAGGGACACCTGCGAGCAAGCGCCCATCCACATCGCGACCTACTTCGGCAGAGCTCGCCCTTGGCATGTCTTGAGTCTACTCCCATCACAGCCGCAAGAGTTATCTCAACTCCGTTTCAGGGGCCTCGGATTAATTAGTTGAGAATTCAGATTGAAACACCAAGAACAACTGTTCTGCGACATCACTTTTAAATGATGGGTCCAACTTGCGGCCCTTTGGCCAGGAAGAGGTCGTGAGAGCACTGTTGGCAGCGAGGGCTGATGCCAAGAGCCCAGTGTGTGCCTGTCAACAGCTTGCAAAGCTTCTCCTAAACTTAAGGACGCACTGCATTCATAAAACATCACTCTACAGTACCGTCTTCATTCGCACGCTTGACTTTTCTCAATCCCAGGCCGTCGCTGAGAACATTCGCGGCCAAACACCGCGCAAGGCGAGGCACTGGCTTCGGCTCTGTCGGAGCCTGATCGGAAACCGCATGAGTATGAATAATCAAGCGAATACTCTAAGAATACATGTGGTGATGTGCACTGTCTGTACATATCTATATATATATATATATGTGTGTGTGTGTGTGTTTGCGTGTGTTTACATGCTTTCGGAACATGCGCACACATCAAGATATGGGAGTTTCAGAAAACAAGGGCACCTCATTTGAGGATCCTATAACTCAGGGTTCTATGTTATCGGGGTGTGCCCCATTGTCTTGCTCTCCGTAGGTCCTGTGGCACAAGGTGCGAAGGCGAGGCGGCAAGAAGTACTTTGCATGGTATCAGTGTACAAGGTACGGTCGCCGTATAAAGTATAATGACCTTTGCAGATGACGGTGACGGCTACAACTGGGTTCACAGGATGTATGACTCCTCATCTTGGCAAGATGTTTTTGGACCAACACATTCGAGCCGAAAGCCTTCACCCATCAGGTAGTCCGTGTTTGAGTTGCAGTTGGGATTCGTCGCTGCTGCATCTCCAATCTACTTCTGTTTGACGCAAACGACGGCTCCAACTCAGAAGGTGTGCCAAGAACGGTGTTGTTACTTCTTTTTTGTTTTGGGAAATCAGAGTGCGCAGCGGGCACCTGACCAGAACTTCATAGAGAGCAGGACGCCGGGAGTCATCGAGGTAGAATAGCCTCTGATGCAGGATAATATCACAGAACAGAGTTTGATAGAGCATAGTAAAATCTAATACACTTATAACATATCAACAATCATCAAGCAATATAATTCGTGGCTATGCTGTTTCTGAAGCAGCACTGCTTGCAGGTGGCTGAGCGTCTTGGCTACACGACGATTGTCCAGATTATCGACAAGGAGATCGAGAGACGGGAGGCATTCTTGTTTGGACCCTGAAGTGAACCGCATGTTTAAAGATCATGAATGGGGCAGATCTACCGCGCCCGCCCGGATTGTTGCACCTTCTCTCCATCAACTGGTCCTCAAAAGGGCTTCGTCCCGGTCTCGAAAGCATATTCTGCCAGTGGTACCGTGACGACGATAGTTGTCCAGCTGAGACTGCTACAGGAAGTGCTTTACGAAGAATGCCGGGTTCAGGATGCAGACTTTGTATGCTCATATACTCAGCCCCGACAGCTCTGTAAGCCCCAAAGACCCTAAACTCAAAGCCCTGAGAGCCCCCAGTACGCCCAGTTAGAGCCCTCAACCCCGAGATGATACAAAAGGCAAGATCATGTGCATGTGTGTACGTAAGTATGCATGTATCCATGTATCTAAGCAAAACTAGATATACACATTGTGTTTAGTCGTGATGTACTTATTTATCTTATATATCTATATATATATATATATATATATATATATAGATAAATGCTTCTATATATATATATATATATATACACTGACCAGATCGAAGAGCTCTATGCCGCCGAAGAGAGGGATCGCGCTGAGCAGCAACTCAAGGCGGGCTCTGTTTAGCTGGAGTCGGAGCCCATTTCGGGGTTTTGGGGCCATCGGGCAACGGTTGTCGGCTTGGGATATAGGCCATGGGGTTTTACCATATATATTTTGCGGGCACCTTCGGGCTTAGGGGGAGGGTCGGGGATTTAAGGTAATCTGGGTCTAGGATCTGGGCCATCGTAACAACAGCAGAGTCCAGTCTGCATGGCCACTGGACCTCCACGACTGCAACTGCAAACTGGAGTGCTAAGTTTCCCATTCCTCCAGAGTAGTCAAAGCTCCGTCTTTCTCATTGCTCTTGCGATCTGACTCTTGCTTTTTGGTGTAGGACGGACTCTTGACACGAACACCTTGCAGAAGTCGTGGTCGTGGTCGTGGTGGTGGTGGTGGTGGTGGTGGTGGTGGTGGTGGTGGTGGTGGGAGCAAAAGTAGTAGCGGAAGCAGGACGTGGAGGGAGTGGTAGTAGTAGTAGTAGTAGTAGTAGTAGTAGTAGTAGTAGTAGTAGTAGCAGCAATAGTAGTAGTACGGTTGATGATTTTAAATCCTGCATCACCCATAGTCAGGAATATACCATAATTCCCATCGTTTAGGGTCCTTAAGGTAATGCAGGATTTATATCATCTACAGTAGCAGCAGCCTGACGGAGCGAAGACGCCAGGCGCTCCTCGAGGCGGAAGGCACTGAGAACCGGTCGCCTCCGGCTTCGTTATTCACCCGAGCTGCCGATATATCTATGTCCATAACTATCTATTTCCACGTCCATGTCTTTGTTTGTATCCATTGTGTTAGTTGTATCTGTATGCTGCTTTTGCGGAAGAGGGGGTTGAGCTGTCATAGGCAACTCCAACATGAAGGGCAACGTGCTGCGACGATTGTCTAGAATTCGGTTCGTGCTCCGGCATGATGTGCCACAGATGTCTCTTACTGCAGAGTGCATCGAGCTTCAAGAGTGTGTATGTTGCTTTGAGCGGCTTGCCAGACCCTCCGGTTGAATACGTCAACAGACTGTTGCGGCCCCGCATGAGTTGAAACTTCCAAGAATGAGCCCAGTAGCACAGCACGGGAAGCGTAAGTAGATGGAGGGGCAGGCATAGCAGGCGGCCATGCAACATACATGGCGACTTCTCGGCATCGTGGCACCGTTCTCACGGGACGGCAGGGCCCCGTAGCACATCAGCAAGGAGCTCCAGAACTTGTTGGCGAGGCTTTGAGGGCAATGACTACGATACCGCCCAGTGGCGATTCGAACAGGTCGAGCCGACAATCATGTTGGGTGCCGTCGGGTGTGCTGCTGTGCGGAGGCATGAACCAACATCTCGGCGTAAGTGGCGACTCCTGAACGGAGGTAGTCATCTCAAACTTAATTTTGTCTTGGTACATCGATAGGCGAAATGTTCCAGTTCCGAAGCCGTCTGAGGCAGCGCCGTTTGGACCTCTGGCGACTGCAGTGCGAGGGCGCTGGGACAGCAGTCGCAGCCAATGCACAGGCCTGTCCCAACATGATGGGATGCAGATTTTCCTGTTGGAGCCTGTTCGAGTTTCTCTAGTATTTGTCTACCTAGATACACTTCGCTGTACTGTACCACCGTGGCACTGCTGACAGGTAGGCTGAGAGCCAATCCGCCATCGTGGCAGTCATTGTGGTGGCAGTGGGAAGAGGCCATTTATGCAGATTTACCCGCTGTTTTTCAGCAGAGTTTGATACGACAGTATTCGACTGAAGCGCTCGCCACTTGCATGTTGCACAGACTTCTACCGTAGATTTTTCCTGTGTGGGTCTGGTAGCGTAGTGATGCAGCTTGTTCATGTGGCGATGTCGATCCGCAAACAAGCAAGGGACAGTTTCACGGAGATTCTGTTGCTGTTGGGGAAGGCACCATTATCAGTGTCCTGGTGTCCAAGCTCAGTAACGGCGCCTACCAGTGTCCACTAGCCGGAGTCTTTCAACACGACAATGGAAACGCACGCAGGCTTGGAATTGGGTCATGGCGCTCTTCGTTTGGGGGCTGCGTCGTGCCGGCCGTTCTGTGGCTGGGAAGAAGTACAGGCGAGGTGTGTGAGCCACGCGTTGCAGCTTTGTGCGGAGTGGCAGCTACTATCTTCAAATGCATTGTTTGTGAATCGAAGTGCCGCCATGTTACTACCTACCAGTACGATCACTCGACTTCGTCTCATACAAGCTGCAGCCGTGACTTTCTGACGAGTGAATCTTAATTACTGCGGCTGTGGCTCTATATGCTGAGAGGCCCACTGCACGGTTTCAGCTTCTAGCATCCGTGCAACACTCGGCAGGACGGTTCGAACGGATGTCAAGACCTTCAACACGCGCTTCTCGGCAATCAGTGGTGCTGCTGCGCTGAATAGATGCTACGAGCAACAGTTGCAAGACGGACGATTTTGTTGGGGCAGCTTTGCCAACCATCACCTGAATACAGGTTGTTCATCGGCCCTCTTCACAGAGGTCTTTGCTCGATGTAGCCTCATATAAGACAAAGATCTGTAGCTCTCGGCGCAGGCCGCAGACCATGTCACTCAACCTGTGATGCACTTTCTGCAGCATCCTTGTGATTGATTTCCTTTGCCGTTACATCTAGTCATCTAGGGATCTGCTGTTCATAAGTCACTAAGGTATCATGGTTCGAAAAGGGGCTAGACCTTCTAATCCCATGCGACATGCGGTGAGCGAGGTTATAGCCTTCTGAGCTATGCCATGATGGCCAGCGATGAGAAGAAGTCGGCATCTTTCCGGAGGACCCCTTTATTGACAGAACTTGAGTGTGCGTCGTGGAGTTTATGGCTTTATCCCTGTGTTGGAGCTTTGGCAAACTGACTGTGGTTGTTGGTTTCCGCTGCTTCGTTCGAGTCCTTTCAATGCTGTTCTGGCGAGTTTAGCGGAGTCGTGCAATCTTCGCATCAGCGATGTGCGCTCCTTAATTACTCCGGGATTCGGGAGGTTCTGGGACATGCGGCACGTGTCTGGGCTGAAACGCTATCCACTATCCATTTCCAGAACAGAGGGCTGGGAAAACTGACGGCAAAGATGTTACGAAGTCACGACAGACGGCTCCAACAAAAGCAAGGGAAGCCTTGATTTGGGATTGCCGCCCGCCGGTTCTGCTCACAGGTGCAATCCTGAAAGCCCAGAAGCTTCCAATCTGACTATACTTGGAGGGTCATGGGACTTAGTAACTAGGGTTATAATTAGGGTAACTATACTTATAACCCTTACTTACTAAGTCCCATGATCCTCCAAGTAGCTATCGGCGGCCAGGGCGCTGCAGCGCTGCGCGAAGCGCCTGCGATTCAGAGGCGACCTTCCAGCAGCAGAAGACATGATCAGTCCAATTTTGCTGAACTGCTGTGGATGCGTCGTCGCTGAAGAGGCAGAGGGTCCGATGCTCCCAAGCGTCGCTGTCTCTGTTGGTGGAAAGACCAGCCAGAAAAGCGCCTGTGATTCTTATCCCCTGTCGGGCTTAATATAGCTATTATATACCCATTATATAGCCCATTATAGGGTAGGGGTCCGAATTAAGGGTCCCTCCTGTTCCCCTTGAATCAGGTGACCCGATGGTAGTGCTGGAGATCGGCTGCGGTGCCTACGCGCCCTTTGCACGCATCTGCACGGAGGAGGGCGCAGACAAGGCCTTCGGTCTCGGGCTTCGTAGCTGAGTTCCCTTCAAGGATTCAATCCAAACTTCGGACTGACCTACCAACATGAGTCCGAACTTTATGATTCAAGACCCCTTCTTGCCCAGCATTCTGCAATTATGCATACCACAAGCTGCGCAGGCTTTGTTAGCTTTCGGGTGCAGGTGCTCGCAATCGAGGGCAACAGCTGGGCGGCTGCCCGTGCCCAGCGCCTTTTAGGAGCAGCTGCTAAGGCTCTGGGCGGGTGATCGGTTAGGCTTTCGGGCGGATTAGGTATCTAGTTTTTATTCTACTTATCTTGAAGTGTGATGCTTGCTGCAGTCCGTATAGTTATGAAGACTGCTCTTATGCGGAATCCAACATCGGGGACGGGATTCAGAGGGTTGAAGTTCTGTGTCGGGGTCTTAGCTGGGGCTTCGCAGGTCGAGGTGAGCAGCCCCGGATACGTGCAGCGGCTTGCGTTGCGTCATGTTTCCGTGCTGCTTTGCCGCCGCACCGGGGGCCAAGTTATAAGCAACTGCTTAACTTGCAATTACAAGCATTAGCGGCCAAAGTAGTTAGTGGTGGTGATGAGAGTGGTTCAGGCAATGCCAGCAACAATGGCTGCGTGGTAGGTGCTAGCGACGGTGGCAGGAGTCGGCGGGCTAGAACACTGATATCATGGCTGCCACCTCTACTGCTGCTTCTGCTAGGTGCTGCTTCAACACATCGCCACAGTTGCTATGCGTTGTCAACATAATGGTAACAATGGTATATCCCGGGCACAGCACGCAACCTCGTTCACAGACGAGTGGTCTTTACGTCACATTGGTGCTCGAAGCAGACAGCCCAAAGGGCCCAAACCTTAGAACTCGACAGGTCTTCGCGGGACTCTCGCAGGAGCACCGCCGGTCATGTCTGGTTCACGCTGTATCGAGATGACTCCTTCGCGCATTCCCAGTGGAGCTTACCCATTTTTCTGCGCCAAGAAGTGGGCGCTATCACGCTCTGCCGTACTGATGGAGTTTATGTAATTTATGACTGATCTGAGTGTCTCGAGCCCTGCCAGGATATGGTGCCCGAAAAGCTTGGTGCACGGGCCAATGCAGCACGGCGGCCAGTTACGACAAAATAGTTGCACCGACAATAGCATGGGAGAACATACCATAATACTGCTTGTATTATGTCTTTTGATCAACAAGCACATGCGTTGTTGCAAGAAGCTGTAACACCAAGATGTACGACCATAAGCATGATCACACTAGATACTTTCCGGCTTTTGACAGAATGGAGAAGAGTTCTATGATTGTAGGTAGCAGGGGTGGGTGCGGTGAGGGAGTTTGAGCTCAGGTCCTGCAGGTTGGCAAAGATTCGGCACGGTCCGGCGATGTCCTCCATGTAGATGTAAACGAGAGGATGCCTTGTGATGTTCTGATCTTTTAAGGTTCGAAGGAACAGAGTTGCTTCGACAGCACTGCACGAGGGACCGCAACATATGTCAGATTAGCATGCAGTTGGCTGTGGCTTTTGCCATACAGAGCCGTCGGTGCCACGGCCGAGGTAGTTGTTATGGAAACTATCGGCGATTGGGCAGCCAACGAGTACATGGCTGCATGCCTGACAGCGCAAGTTTTCGCTGTTGTCGCTCGCGCTGGTGGGGCTGGTTGTGTGAATATGTGGCTGCGCCGAAACTTCCTGCAGCTATTTGCATTGAGCCATGCAGAATAATTACTGGAGCCTGCAATTCTTACACAATTCCCGAACAGAAACCACCTGCAACCGCGAGCCGAGTCTTTTCACATATGTAGCAGGTTGACTGCTGCGCGCGGCTTCACGATTTTATCATCATGACTACAGCGCCATGACAAATTTGCCGTGCCTGAAACCGACAAACATGTTCTGGATATCCGAAATCCCTGGGCTCTAGGATTGGCACACATGACAAGCATGTCAAGCTCCGGGCTCAAAGTTTGTCGCACATGAAAGCCATGACCCACCGTAGCAACGGAATTGTCACCCCTAGAGTAATTCTTAAAATAACTCTAGTAGCCTGACTAGTAACTGGTACATATGTCAGACCGATGGCGAGGTGAGCACCTTTCTGGATGCCCGGGGACGGCTGTGCGGGCCGACTTCACAGTGGATACCCGGCCAGGCAGTCTGAATACGGATTATGAGGGTCACTATAATGGGTTGCTACAAATGAACTATAAGGGTACGATGAAGGTTTCTGTACATAGGGGTTACTAGTAATTAAGCAGTGGCATTGGGACTCAGCGAAGCGATCTGATGAGCAACGTAGGGCTTTTGTTGTTGGAGCAGGGAGCTTCTCGGATCTAGGAGGTAGGGGTAGTTTTCGTCGGCCAGAAGCTTCAGGCTTGACGGTTCCGCAAGCAAGATCGCAGCAGGACAAGACGGTTGGACAGAGCGAGCCGTGAATCCTGCTAGCTATCTCTTTTCAAGTCATGTTTGCCCGAGACTCGAGCCAAGCCATCCTTGTTGAACAAGCGCCCGACAACCCAAAGCGTCATCAAATCACAGGGAGCAGATACAAAACCCAGGCTTGTCACGTCTGCTGTCGGAAAGGTGAAGACATGCTTCATGCCGGTGACAATTCCACCCTGGGGACAGGAAGGCAACGGACCTACGACCGCGATTCTCTAATTGGGGGCTTTCTATTAAACTTCTCTTTGGGTTTGGGGTTCTGCAGGTCTTGTGGGATCCTGTAGGCTCATCGGGGGCCGATGTTGAGCCAGTCTGTTTGAAAGACCGCACTGGACACCAAGAGCTGCTGCTGTGAGTGTCACGGGCTCGTTTGGCGTCACTTTGAGGTCATGCCATAAGCACGTGGGAGGTCAAGGCCACGAGAGTATGTTGGCACGATCCTCCTCCTCCTCCTCCTCCTCCTCACAACCGTCACAACCGTGTTCTTCGGAGGTGCAGTGCCGCCGGGCCTGTGGCTCCTGGGCAGTGATGCGCGCTATGAAAGGCAATGGCTGAAGCCAATGTGTCGGGGCCGAGTCCTAAGCAGAAGCCCGCCTGAACTGTAGCAGGAAAGAGTTTCGCCTCGAGTCATGTCTCCCCAACCTCCACAGTCAGCTTTGCAGCAACCAGCACTAGCCATAACCGATTTGATCACGTTCTGCTGGGTTCCTGTTAAGGGGTCTTATTTAAGTTGCCATAATAAGGAACCTTCTTATACATTACACACGATTATGGTAACTTACATGAAGTTCCTGAACAAGAACCCAGTTCTCGGAGGCTGGCACTTTCAGAAGCGGAGACGTTGGAGGCGTATGACTTCAACGAGTGGAAGGCCGACTGCATGCTGTTCACTCAGGCATTGAGTCATTCACTATGTGTGTGTATAGCTACATGCCTACCTACCTACAGAATGCATGCATCTTCCCAATTTTATGGAGGACGTCGCACGAGCTTCCAGCTTCAGTGCAGATGTGCATTTTCCGATCAGGATGAGATGCTGAAGCAACATCGGAGCTTTGACTTCGAGATCCAGACATCTGCGGATCTCCAAGGTTTCCTCCTTTGGGTGGAGGCCACTTAGATGCGGAAGTGATGGGTGTTTAGGTGTTAGGGATGTTTAGGGCATGTTGCAGCAATTTGCAGCTACACTGGCATGTTGGCGGTGCTGTGCTCTTGGGGACGTTCCTCCGAATCTGTAACCCTGAAACCCTAATTTAGCCCCAAAGCCCCGAACATAGACCAAACCCAGAGCCCAAAACCCTGAGTGTATTGAAATCTGACTGGGCATGCCCCAGTGCTAAGGTCTTTCCGGACGGCACTGAAGATGCCCCGCTGACGCTAGCAAGCATGGATGATAGGTACACATGCGCACACAGACACGCTCGTAGAATTGATAATTACCCTTTTGACTTCCGACCTAACTTCCTACAAACACACCTACATACATAAGTACTTGTAAGTACACATACATACATACCTGCCTGCCTACGTACGTTCGTACACACATCCTACGTCCATGCATACATCATGCATGCATGCATCGATCCATCATTCTCTCCGTCGGTCCATCCATGTTTACAGACGCAGATATAGACATGTTAAATAAATAAACATATATATATATATATACCAGGGTCTTCTAAGTGATGGGTTGGGGGTCTACATGTGTTACAGTAGCGAAAAGTCCCGTAACTGATGTGTTTTCTGTCCCTATAGCTTGAAGTCCCTTAACTGTCTTGTTTTCTGTCCAGTGTGCTCCACGTGGCATTATATGGGCCCAAGATTCAGGGTTTTCGCCATGTCCAGCCACAGCTGGATCGAGGAAAAAGCCGTGCGACTCAATGAAATCAGTACCATCATAGACTCCCAGCTCGTAAAGGATGCCGCGATTACGGTCCCTGCACCACCAAGACACGACCACGTCCAACCCCGATCCAAGTGGCTAGTGGAACCTCGGCGTATCAGCAGCAAATTTTGTCGGTCCACTGTTCTATAATAAGACCGTACGCCCCCCTATGCACATACACCCTGGTGCCCAGGAGCTCAATGCTTGGAAAGCCCTGGTTCTTGGAAGGCTGATCTTATCGGAGGCTCGGTAGCTGAAAGCACAGCCTAAACAGAAACGAACCCCCCAGCTGTGCGCAGGAGCCCGTGCCAAAAAGACAGCGAAGGATGGTCGAGGCCGGATGTGCTGTGTGGGGTATACCACTTCCAGGGTTCGGTTTACTTCCGCCCGTGGTTTGGTATATGGAATCCTGCTGAGATTTTTTTGCACGTCGAGTGAATCCCGGCTACAGTGCATGTGAGACGTAGCAGTATCATACCTTAGCTGCTGCAGGCGGCTGGATCTTCGTGCGACGCAGTGGCAAGGCCAGCAGGTCGTATTGAAGTTCGGATCCGGGTCCGGGTATATATAGTGATAGGGGTGTTAGCAATTCGGGCTGTTAGGATTCCTGGCTTCGGGATACATATGCCGGGATTTCGGGTGTTAGGTTTCATACTTTAAGTAGCAAATAACCGGCGGGTTTCGGAGCTTAGGTTGAGGCTGCAATTGTTGGGGTATTTAGGTTCGGGTTCGGGTTTATAGGCTTTGGATCAGGGTCTGGGTTTCAAGTGGAATGTTCTTGTCCTTTTCCAAAGGGCCTTTCAGGGCATAGGGAGGGTTTTAGGAGTCGGGGTTGTGGGAGTTTGGGGTTTGGGAGTCAGGGGTACGGGTTAGTTCGGGTTTGGGGTTTAGGTCTTGAGGCTGAGTGTGAAAGTGGAACTGTCTTGAGTTGGGCTCTTTATTTCGGCTTCGGATAGAACCGGTTTGAGGGTTTAATTGCTTATGTAATTTCAGGTGGGGGGGTAGGGTTCCAGATTTCTTAAGGTTTAGGTAATCGAGTTGGGTTTCGAGCTTCTGCTTCGGGTTTCGAGCTTCTGTTTCGGATGGTGGATGCTGTCGGGTTGAGGGCTTTAGGGTTTCAGACTTCTGCTTAAGGTGAACGATTTGCACGTAAAGATTCAGGTTTGAGAATCACAACCTTGATCGAACCATAAACCCTAAACCCCGAATTCGCAATACCCTTCACCGGAACGGCCAAAAATTAAGGGTAGGACGCTAAACCCGAGACCCCCAAAGGGTAGGACTCCAAACCCCAAACCCGGAACCCCAAATCCTAAATTCCGGAACCGGCAGGCCAAGCCTGGTTAGTTGTTAATGGGGGTTTGATCACTGCACTACTTTCTAAAGCAATCCACCTGATCAGCCCGTCCCGAGATCGATTGAGGGTCGAGGGTTTAGGTTTTTTTTGTCTTGGCCTTGTTGCCTTACAACCTGTTCGATCTGCAAAGTCGTTGCACATGGGATTTCGACAGTGCTGCTACCATCGCCTCTCCGGTGGATCCAATGCCCTGAAAGCCAAGGGTACCTAAAGGGATCCGGAACGACCATTCATGTTGACAACGAGAATTCAGGGTTTTGTGGTTTAGAACCAGTAGACGTAAACTCCCTCCAAAAGCAAGCGCCCCGCGGGAGGTTTAGATTTGGTTGTAGGCGAGTTTAGTTTAGTATAAGCCACGAACCCAGTCTCCCTAGTCAACCCCATTAAACCCTACTTGTAAAGAGGCCGAAGCCAAACCGCGACCAGCCGACCCGACCCTAATCCCTATAAGCCCGTTTAGGGTTTAGGACTTAAGGGCTTAACTTCATAAATATACTTATAATCCGACGTGCTCTGCAGGCCCACCAGCAGCAGCGACGATGACCGCCGGTGGTTCATGGACGAGCCCATCTTCAGGCCAGCCTGAGATGGCTTTAGTCGGTTTAAGGGATTAAAATACTACCTCAAGCTCGGGTGTTTTAGATTTTAGGGTTGTGGTTTTTTGTTATCGACCCGAAACCTCTTCACCCTAACCGGTTCCCCGAGCCCCTTGCCTTAGCTCGGGTGTTTTAAGCTTTAGGGTGCTAGGGCTGTGGGTTTTTTTTTAAATAGACCCGAAACCTCTTCACCCTAACCGGTTCCCCGAACCCCTTGCCTTAGCTCGGGTGTTTTAAGCTTTAGGGTGCTAGGGCTGTGGTTTTTTTTAAAATAGACCCGAAACCCCTTCACCCTAAGCGGTTCCTCGAACCCCTTGCCTTAGCTCGGATGTTTTAAGCTTTAGGGTGCTAGGGCTGTGGGTTTTTTCAAAATAGACCCGAAACCCCTTCACCCTAAGCGGTTCCTCGAACCACTTGCCTTAGCTCGGGCGTTCTAAGCTCTAGGGTGCTAGGGCTGTGGGTCTATTTAAATAGACCCGAAACCCCTTCACCCTAAGCGGTTCCTCGAACCCCTTGCCAAAGCTCGGGCGTTTTAAGCTTTAGGGTGTTAGGGCTGTGGGTTTTTTTGATAGACTCGAAATACCCAGCTTCGGCTCTTAGGCTTTGGGCGCTCGACTCGTAGGTTCCTAACTTTACGAATATGGTGCCTGAGATCGACCCACCTATTCACCCCAGCTCACTTCGTAGGTTGTAGGATTTCGGATTTCATGAGCATAGGAGATTGCGGTTTTCGTATCATGGACTTTGGGTTTAGACTGGGCCCGAAACCCATTCACCCTACCGTCCCACCCTGATTGCTATAGTGTTTTAAAGTTTGGGGGCCTGGGTGTCAGAATGTACCCGAAACCCTTTTACCCGAATCATCCCGCCCATGCAGAATTCCCTACAGCTCTCTTGGCTAGGTTCTAGGCTTGTGGCTAATTTACTTTCCGGTAGGAAATCGGCTTTAGAAAAATATTAATTGAACCCGGGCCCCTATCAAACCCAACAATGCTGCAGACTGCATGATGCTGCCGATGAGAGCGCGGAGGATGCCAGTGTGAGGCGCGGTTGATTGCGGTGTCGAAGGGTCTGCGGGTTTCTGTTGCAGAAGCCAGTTGAGGAGAAGCCATGTGCATTCGAAGTGAGCACCGGAAGTTAGGAAATCCAATTACCCCCCCGTTTCAAATTGCTGATCAGGAACGAGATGGGGACGAACAACGATGCTGTATATGTGTGTGTATATATATATATAGATCCAGGGGTTTATGCTGGTTTTGCTCGGTTCGGGGTTGAGGTCTGATGAATTAGGGCTCAGGCCTCGGGCCTGTTCCAGCCCCCCTTTAACCCGAGACCCCAAGGGCTACATCGCAACCCTGATACCCGAGAGCTTTGACCCTAAATGCCCTAAACCCCCATCACAAACTCCCATAAACCCCCGACGCAACGAGACCGTATGTGTTGGCAGGGGTCATCAAAACAAAGGAACGAGGGCTAGGGTAAGGGCTTGGGATTGAAAGGTGAACCGTTGTGGTAAGCTGGGTTTAGGGTTTAAAGCTTCGTCTTGAAAATACAGGGCTGTAATCATCCCGAGCCTCAGGTTCGAGCCCCCATGAATCCCCATACCTAGACCCAATCGAGATCCTCAAATTTATACCCAAGAGCTAGACCCGAAAATTTAGAATCGTCACCTGTGACAAGCCCAGCCCCGATCGACAATTAAGCCTGTTCAAGCCCCCTTGACCGGAGAACCCACGCGGCTACAGTAATCTCAACCCTGGGCCATGTTGCCTACTTCAGGTGGTGATCGATGAGACTGAGGAGAATGAGATGGCTATCGCTAGATTCCCGGAATTTGGTCCGTGATCCAAGGCTTGGGTTTGGGGCATGTCTGGTGATCAGTACCCACGGGGTCGTGGCGGTGCTGCCCTAAACTCTGAACCTTAAAGTCCTAAACCCTAAGCCATACAGCCTAAACCCTAAGCCCTATATATATAAAACCCCATATCGATCACCGCCACAAAAAATGGTGTAGCTGTGTAGGCAGGTGTGTGCGAGCAGCAGGTGTCATGCATGGATCCGAGGCTTCCAAAATTTGGCATATGCTATGTTATATTTGGCCGGTGCGGCCCTGGTTGCTGGGATTCCGGATGATCTCAGGAGCGCCCCACGTTCAATATAGATCCAAGAAAACCCGGCCTGCAGCAGGATGGATATTTATTATGACGGACGGGTGGCACTGATATTATGCTGCTATGGCTGCTGCGGTATGGATCAGGTGACCACGCCACAAAAATTAGTGTAGCTGTGTAGGCAGGTGTGTGTGTGAGCAGCACGTGTCATGCATGGATCCGAGGCTTCCAAAATTTTGGCATATGCTATATTTTATTTGGCCGGTGGGGCCCTGGCTGCTGGGATTCCGGATGATCTCAGGAGTGGCCCAGTTTCAATATAGATCGTGCATGTGTGGCATGCCAGTATATCTTCAATCCCTAGGCTAAACGGACGTGGTCTACGAGGGAATGGATCTGGCCCGTCACTGGGACATCCTATTTG